TTCAACCATAAACCTAAAAACGTATAGCCAATTTTGTAAGAGATGCATATTAGCTCAGAAAATTGTTATTGAATATGTCAGTGCTGATGTAATGTTTTCTCCATTTAAATGTGCTTTAAAAATATTTAGAAAAAGCCAGGCATGGTGGCACGCGCATTTAATCCCAGCACTTGGGAGGCAGAGGCAGGTGGATCTCTGTGAGTTCAAGGCCAGCTTGGTCTACATAGTGATTTCCAGGACAGCTGGGGCTACAGGGAGACCCAAAAAGGTTGAAAAGACCAAAAAAAAAATTTAGAAGAAAAGGCACATGGGAGGACATTTCTGGTAAGGGTTAAGTTATGAAATGCAGTTTAGAAAAGAGATTATTTTCCATAGTGATTAGGCATCCATCACATGGGAGGAACAACTGAAAATGTTTGAGTGTAACCACCAGGTAAATATTTTCCTAACTCCTAAGAGATGTTATGGGTCTTACTCAGGGATGGGGGAGTTTAGTTCACTGTTACTTGTCCTTAATTTTATGATTCTGATTGGAGGCAGGTCAGCCATCTCTGATATAGATTCAAGGGAGTCTCTTCTCCATTACTAATGGGAACTAGCTTCTTCTCAGAAAGGACCTGGGTTGACAGGTCTAATGAGGTAAGACAAGGTCTGTGCTTGTCAGTGTCTGCAGTATGGAGTTATAGTATAGGACTTCTTTCTCCCAGAGGCTCAGGATCCAGGTCTGTGAGGTTAGGTAGCACCTGAGCAGGGGTAGGTAGACAGACTTATCTCCTTGTAAAGACCAAGAAGCTTCTCTCTTTTGGGTGAGTTACTTTCTCACTGACTCAGGGTGTTGGAAAGAGCATAATAAAAGTGAGAGCCAAAAACAACACGACAATTTTGTGATTTGTGGACAAGCATTCTAACATCTCTAGATTTCCTTTTCTGTTGGCCGGAGTGGCATTACTGCCTAGTGTGTCCACGGCCTCTCGGAGTTTCACAGTCTCACTGCTCCTTTCTCACTAGGCTTCTGAGAATTCCAGTCTCTTCATGTACTCGGTCATGGATGAAGGAAACAAGGCAACTGCTGAGGGATGAAAGAGTAAAGGACAGCAAGGGCAGCTGCTTCAACTCAGGCACTCCCCACTCCAGCATCAAAGAAGGCAGAGAACAGAGAAGATGTATTGGGTTGTAGACAGGTTGGCACTGTGGAATAAATAGCATCACTGTTAAGCTAAAGAGAAGTTGCTCAAATCAGAGTCCTGAAGAGCATCTTTTTTACTTTTCTTTGGTATGCAGGAAGTGCTGCCATCCATCCATCCATCCATCCATCCATTCTTCTATCAGTCCATCCATCTATCCATCTGTGATTTCTATGTCTGTTTATCCACCTAACAGATTCATGTACCGATGCAACCATCCACCTAGGCATCCATCCATCCATCCATCCATCCATCCATCCATCCATCCATCCATCCATTCATCCATCTGTCCATTCTGTCTATCTGTCCATCTATCTATCCATCTGACATTCCCATGTCTGTTTATAATTCTATCCACTGAGTCCAATTCTGCTCAGATTCATAGTGGAGAGTTAAAGTTAACTGACATAAAATGAATTTATTTCTTCTTGAAGTTGAATAGTAGGTATGGGTACAGTTTAGGCATGGGTACAGTTTGGGCATTAATTTCCTGGGTTTGTCTTCAGGATCTGCTACATCCTTGGGAAAATTCTTTCACCCCTCTCTGCCTAAATTTCCCTACCTTTGAGGTTGGAGTAATAAACTATCCATATTAAAGATGTTCTCATGAATTCAATCAAACAATTTAGGTGTAGTGCTTAGCACAATGCCTTAGATGAATGAGCACTCCATGCTGCTGGCTATAGCCACTGCCAAGAAGTATTAGGACAGACAGATATATGATAAGGCAATTGTTGGTTCTTCATAGATTCTTGATGGGTCTCATTAAAGGAAGCTGGAATATTAAGGCAGGAAACATAGCAAAGCATAAACAAGATCACCTCCCCCCACCAAATAAACCATTACAGCCAGTGTATTTTTTTCCTATCTACTTGGACAGAAGAATAAAATATAGAAAGGTCTCCATGAGAAGGGAATTCAGATGCCGCTAAAATGTATACTCACCCAACACCAAATAAGTCCACCCTGTGACCCCTTTGATCATGGAAGTCTGTTGGCTAGATGTCATCTCTTGTATTAGTTTCCTAGGACTGCCATAACAAAAGTACTACAACTTGGATTGTCGTGAAATAACTGAAATTTGTTTTCTTACAGTCTGGAGGCCAGATGCCTGAAGTCAGCATTCTAGGGTCAAAATCTTGGTGTTGGCAGGCGTTTTTGTTTGTTTAGGTTGCCATAACAAACAGGCAGAATAACTTAAACAGTAGAAATTCTGAACTGCAAGTCCAAGATCAAGGTGTCAGCAGGGCTCATATCTCTTGAGGCCTCTCTCCTTGGCATGCAGACAGCTGCCTTCTCACTACTTTGATCTCACAGGGCCTTCCTTTGGGTGTCTCTTTCTCTCTATATAAGGGCATCAGTTTCATTGAATCAGAACACTGTACTCGTTTTGACTTGATCATTTCTTAAAGGTCTTATGTCCAAGTATAGTAATATTCTGAGATATTGGCCTGGACCTTCAACATATGAATTTGGAGTGGGGGACAATTCAGCCTCCAACAGTAGGCCTGTACTCCCTTGGGAGGATCTAAGGGAGAATGAATTCTCACCTCTTTCAGATGCTGGTAGCCACTGTTCTTTGGCTGCTGGTCACATCGCTCCAATCTTAGTCTTCAGTATCACCTTATTGATTCTTCTGTGTGTGTTTCTCCCATAGCTTCCTTCTTATGAGGGCATTTGTGATAGCACTGATGATCTACCAGGATAATCTCTTCATCTCAAGATCTCTAATCACGTCTTTCCACTTTCCAAATAATGTCTGTAGTTTCTACATATCTTGGTGATGGGAGCATTTTTCAACCTAGATAGTACTACCCTATTATACAGATGGGAAAGTAATCTGTCAAATGTTATAGAGAGAATAGAAACAGAGGCAGAGGTATGAAAAGATACAGGGGCTGGAACTCAACCCATGACTCCTTCTAGTCCACACAACTGTGCCCCAAACAGATGCAGGATGAGAAATGGACCCCACTAAGGAGACACGAAGTAACAGCAGCTTAGCAAGGACTGCGGGGCAGGAAAATCCCATTGTCAGTTTACTTGGAGTGAAACCAGAGACTCATACTGTGGTCAAGCAAATTCCTAGAAATGAGGAATTCAGCCTGGGCCTCAGCTGCAGAGAAACCAAATTTACTTTGGAAAGTGTCTCAGGTGCAAAGGGCCAGGGCTGGAAGAGCAGTGGGAATTCCAGTGGGTAGGCTGAGGTGGGAGGTCTGTATTTATTCTCTTCAGGAATGAAGCGCTTGCCAGGTCTTGCTCACAGAGCCACAGGGAGGAAGCATCCAAGGTGAGGATGGCAGCCTGCTGGGGGCGGGGGTCTAAGCATGGGAGGGGAGACAGGGCTGGGACTCTGGGCAGTGTGTAATTTAAGGAGTTAACACTTGCTACAAGCACAAGGGGTAGGAAGAATGACCAATTTCCCTCTCATTGGAAGAAACATTGCATGGTCTACATTTGGGGGAAACCTCTTCTACCTGAGCAGAGACAGCAGGGTTATAGCTTCCTGACACTGACTTCAAATGTAACAGTTGCTCCTAAATTGATTTCAGATGGCAAGACCAAGGCCACAGCCCTGTTTTCACAGGGAAGGGCAAGAACTTGTGAGTGCAAACTGCACCCAAACTGGCAATATAAAAAGAGATGCCATTTATGAGCTTTGAGCTTAAATGGCTTAAAAGTTATTAGAAAGAGAGATTGGAGAGATGGCTCAGAGGTTAAGAGCACCGCCTGCTCAAATCCCAGAACCCACATGGCAGCTAACAACCATCCGTAACTCCAGTTCCAGGGGATATGATGCCTTCTTCTGACCTCCGAGGGCATTGCATGACACTGGTGCACTTATATACATGCAGGTAATACACTCATGCACATAAAATAAAAATAATAAATAAAATATTTTTAAAAGTTATTAGAAAGATCAGAGACTTAGCCATAATAGAAGGTCATTTCTTCCATTTAGCTTGGGGCTGTGTTAGCCAGATCTCAGGTGGTTGTTTCATGGAGTAGGGGACTGAAGTATCTTAGTATCATTCCCACATCATCTCTACAGGGTAGCTCTTGTTTATGGGGTCCACCATATTTGTGACCCTTACTGTCTTCCCTCTGCTTTCCAGGCTCCCAATTCCATCTAAGTACTCCCTACATCACATGTTCCCTACTCAAAGCATCCAGAAAGTTTTCTGCTTTCCTACTTGGATGTCACCTCACATATCTGTGACTTAAGTATGAGAAAAGCTACAGAACAATAATGGGCAAATGATGCCCATTGCAGACAGGTCCTAAGACAGGATAGAGGAACCCAGGTAGTTAATGACTGGATCAGGGATGAGGGATGCTTCAGTGTGTTGTCCATGAGTAAGCAGTGTGAGCTGCAAGAAGTTAGAGATGGTATGCCTGGATGGAAGACCCAAAGATAGAAGTGGACTCCAGCAGCAGGAAAGGCTTAGCTAGAGTGCAGAGGACAGGTGAGGCTTAGAGGGCTGCCTAGAGGAAACAGGACTGAAAGGCAGGAAAGATGAAGAAAGAGCAGACAGTCGTGAGATCAAGAAACTGCATGGATGTTGGGAAGAGGAGAGAAAGCAGAGTCGATAAGAGGTGACGAGAGGCTCCTAGAGGGCAAGTCATTACTTGAGGCCCCTGTTATGAGCTGAATTGTGTGTATGCATCCCCTTCCAAATTAAAATGTGTCTATACTGCGAGAGAGGATCTTTAAGAATAACTGAATTAAATGAGGTCATTATGGAAGGTCCTAATCCAGTATGCCTGGTATCCTCATATGAGAAGGAATTTAAGACATGGCATGAGGACACTCCTCCAAAGAGAGGAGTGCATGAGGACACAGGAAGGAGCCGGCCATCTGTAAGCCGAGGAGAGGAGCCGCACAAAACACAGACCCCTTGATATCTGGATCTGGGACTTTCAGCCTCCAAAACTGTAAGAAAATTAATTTCTGTCACTTAAGTCCTCTAGTCTGTACTATTGGTTATAACAACCCATGCAGGCTAATATAGTTTCTTACTTATCAACACATGGGTGAGTCTTTTTTAACAACCTTATTTGTTGATAACACTTGCTTGATCAAGCTCTTTTCTTCTTTCCTCTCTTTTTTCTCTTTTCTTTTAAACCTGAAGAAAATCTCTTAAATGTATGAAGGTATGACAAATATTGAATACTCATGTCCTTGTTATGTGAAAATTAGCAACTATAAAAATTCCTGCTTGATTCCAGTACTTTCAATAAAATAACTACAGCATTATAAATGTGGTAAAGTCTTTTTGACCACAACTGTTAGCCTTTTCTTCTCTTGCTCCTCAGAGGCAATCATTGTCGAGTGACCGATGTGCATTCCTTTGGTCCATGTGTCTATGGATAAACATTTTGTATTGGTTTGTTTGGGTTTTAAAGTTTTTGCAATTTTGCTTCATGAATTGCAGATCTTGGCTGTGCCACTTTGTAGCCTCACGTTTGGTATTTCTCAAAGTACAGCAAGCAAACCATGGTCCAATAGATGACATTAATTGATACAGAGATCAGCAGGGCATTAAACAACATTGAATGGAATGTGACAAAATTATTCCTTGAAGATTAAATCAAAGAGAAGTAGAATGCGGGCTAATTATTAAATGCTTCCTAATTTTGTTCTTTAACAAAGAGAGAAAGGACAGGCTCTAAGCTTTCAGCAAGCAAAGTATCTGGTTAGATTTTCCATCATTTTTCATATATTTGTGTAAGGTATGCCAAATGTCTTGCCATATTGACTATAGATGAAGCTGAAAGGATAGCTGATCTGATGAACGCAAAGGGCTGCGGGGAGTAGGAATAAGGCAGGCTTGTGAATGAATGTCCCTGGACACTTAGCTGTAGACCTTTAAGAAGTTGAGGGTAATTTGGGGGCAATAAGGCTATTGTCTTTACGGAGTCTGCAGTTGGGATACTTTTCATTTTGCATTGGACCTTTCAAGTTCCAGAGCCAGGCCTGAATGGTGTACACACAGGAGCTTCATAGGCACGTGACTTGTGCAGAAGGCCCTGAACTTGGGTCTGATGCTCTGTCATCTTGAGATTCTTTCATCAGTCTCACTGTGTAGCCCCAGCTGACCTAAAACTCACTATGTAGACCAGGCTGGCCTCAAACTCATAGAGATCCACCTGTCTCTGCCTCCTGAGTACTGGTATTAAAGGCATGCACCACCATACCAGGCTCATCTTGAGATTCTTAATATGTGATTATATTTGTAAGTCAAGTTATATGGGACAATAGGGCATTCACAGGAGGCTTACAGCCTAGGCTTACCTGTAGTCTAACTCTCACCATCTTCCTGGGGTGGGTCCCCTATATTTATCTCTGATCTGGCCCCTGAGTTCTGTTTGGTCTCCATTCTCATCTCCACCTCACAAGACATCCACCCTCTGCCCATCATATGAGTGTGCCATGTTCTGCTACTAATCTGCCCTCATGCGGATTCAAGTACAGGCAGGGCTGGAGCTGGGTGTGTTCCCCAAGATGTATCACATGGGGAAGGTGTGGCTGTCCCTCCTCAGACTTGCAGTGTCATGGCTTGTTCAGTGGGCAGCTGAACAAAGGCCTCTCACCCACAGTCCACTCAGAGACCCAGGGCTCCAGGGACTCTCCAGGGGGAATTATCTGCTGCCTCCATGGGTCTAGCCACTACCCCCCTGGACCCCACTTTTCATTTTGCTTTGCACTCTATAAATTCCAGAGCTGTGCCTAAGTGGCATACAAGCATAAGGAGGTACTCGATGTGCGCTGTGTGCATCCATTGTGCATTCATGTGGAAAGTCGAGAACAAAATGGGAAAAGCCCAGGAGAAAGGAAGTGTTTGGGGAAAGCCTCAGGAGAGCAGGAAAATCCACATAGATATGGCCAAGCACAAATGACAAAACCTAACTTTGACTTTTCAGTCCATCAGCTTTCTATGAGCTCTGTGTTTACCCATCTTTAAAAAAAGAGGCAGCTGGGCCAGCGCACAGTGAGAGAATGGGAACTACGGTGGCCAAATTCTTGGTATTTCCTATACAACTTGTGGCCTTCCTAGCTTTCCCTGAAATCCAAGGTTGAACCACAGGGCCTCTGGGCCAGGAATCCCTGGGCAGGAAGTGCCCTGGAACTCATTCCTGCACCCAGCCTGCAGTAAAAGCAAATAGATTTAGAGGTCTAAGCCAGTGGGAGATGTGGCTGATATAAAGCACCAAATGGGCCTGCAAAAGAAAGTTAAGAAAGGTCTGGGGCAAAGGGAGCGTGAAGATGATGGCAGGGAATGTGAGGCTAGAGAAGCTTCCTGGGAAAGCAGGTTCCTCCACCCCAAAAGAAAGAAAAAGCAAAGTCACAATCAGGAAGCAGAAATGGGTGAGTTAGTGATGAAGGCAAGAGTCTTTGGTGAGGCAGAGCTGACTCATGAACTGTGTGCGGATGGCCTCCCTCGGAACTTGCCTAAATCCCACAGTGGGAATGACAGCTGCCAGCCTGCTCTCTGATGGATGCACAGATTGGTAGGCCAGCTGGCCAAAGCCCTGGAAAGAGTGGGTAGACATCAACTCCAAAGAAAGCAACTCTGGGGCCCTGGGGAAAAGTAAAGAGGAAGAAGAGAGCAGAGACAAGACGCCAGGAAAGCAACACAGCCTGGCAGAAATGCCCACGTTCAAGAAAGGAAGACCAGTTTCAGGGTAAAGGAACAGACCAGCCATGAATGGTGGGGAACAGGCAATGGCCAGAAAGGCAAAACTGAAGCTGGGAAATTCTGATGTTCATAAGAGATGGGATAAATGAATGTTTTTATTTGTGGGTGAAGATGTGAATATTTACATTATACATTCCATGATGTAATTGCATAATTTGAACAAAATTAAACAGTGACACAAACAAGACCAAATAATTATAGACACCTGGATCAGAAAAGACTTTCCAAGGAGTGGGCCAGGCTATCCATGTGATTAGAAGCCACCCCCTCTCCCACACATCTGAGGTCCCTCAGAGCATTGGGATAAATCCACTGTGCTACTCTGAGCAAAGTGACTAGTTAGTTCAGTCATTTAAATTGCCAGCTCACTATTCATCAAAAGCAGAAAGTCATATTTGTCATGCCTGTGTGGCAGAGGGGTTTATAGACTCCTCTGGGTAATAGCTTTGTAAGCTGTAAATTACTTCAAATGCCAAGACATTATTTCTTCACTCATTTATTTGTTTATTACCAAGTCACATACTCCCTTTATCCTAGCTAAACAGTGTGTCTTCACCAAGTTAAACAAAGTCACAATACTATGATCCAGGCCACTTTGTCCTTCACTTTATGACTGTTATCAGTAAAGCACAGGCTGGGATGGGCTTTATCTGGTCATTCTTTCTTTTCTTTATTGTTTTATTGGATCATCATTCAACTGACCGAGATCTTGCTGACAGCTAGAATCTTACAACTGACAAAGGGGAAGGGATGTGGCATCTTGGAGGCAGGGGGGCACTTTGGTTAGAGATTTATGTGCCACCAAGAGAGGGAAGGAATTCTCTCCACCTCCCTTCACACTGGAGCTCCTCCAGGTTCTATTTTAATGTCTGCCAAGTCAAAGCCATTGCCTCCCTGTTTCTAGTCATTTGGTGCCTATTTGGACCACTGATGGCCTTTCTCATTTTAATCTCCTTGCCTTTACAGTGTAAACTAACCCTATCCTTGAGAATGATACCTTAAAAAAAGAAACAACAACAAAAAACTATTCCAGCTATGGATGACACGCTGTCCTTGAACTGTAAACTCCTTAAGGGCACTATCCAGGCTTCTCCCCAGACTTCAAATCCCACAGTTCAGATCTGTTGAACTGCTGTTCAGAAAGTCTGTCACAACTCTGGGGAAACTACTCCTTCCTTGAGGTGACTCCCAAGCCAGAGTTGAGAACATGAAAAGCTTAGTGTTAACCACAGTGGTGGCCTTTAAAGGTTGAGCACAGCCAGCCAGAGAGGTTCACTGGGGCTGTAAGAAGTGCTGCACTGGGGTAGAAGAGTGAAGCATTTGTGAGGGTCATGAGTACTGTGCCAGGGAAGCCTGCCACAGGCCACACACTACATGTGATAGTTATTTTTCTCATTGTGACCAAATACCTGACAAGATGCAGCTTATAGGAGAAAGGACTTATTTTGGATCACAATCTGAGAGTACGATCTGTATTAGTTCTTTTTCTGTTGCTGTCATAAAACACCATGACCAAGGCAACTTATAAGAGGAAGAACTTGTTTGGGTTCACAGTTTCAGAGGGAAAACAGAGGTTGGGGGGCATGGCAGGAAGTGACCTACAGAGCAGAAGCTGAGAGCTCACATCTTCAAGCACAAGAAGGAAGCACAGAAAGAGAGAGAGAAACTGGAAGTGGGGCAAGGCTATGAACTCTCAAAGCCCACCCTCAGCAGCGTGCTTCCTCCCGCAAGGCTGCACCTTCCTAACCCTCTGCAAACATCATCACCAACTGGGGGCCAAGTGTTCAAATATTTGAGCCTATGGAGGGCGTTCCTCGTTCAAACCACCATCATGACCAGGAAGGCATGGTGGCAGGAGCATGAGGCATCCAATTATCACATGGCATCAGCTAGGAAGCAGAAAGAATGGGGCCAGCAGTGGAGCTGGGTTATCTCCTCAAGGCCTGGCCCCCAGCAGTCCTTTTCCTCCCACCAGGCAAAGCCTATTCCCTAGCTACTAAAGATTCCACAACACCTCAAAACAGCACTATCAGCTGGAGGCCAAGTGTTCAAACACACGAACCTGTGGAGACATTTCATACTCAAACTATAATGCTGTGAAGCCATTGCTTAAAGCCAGAATTGTCTCCTTTTGGTTTTTAAAAGTATTTTAGGGCCTGGGGAGATAGCTTAGCACTTAAGAAAAGTTACTGCTCTTATAAAGGACCTGGGTTCAATTCCCAGCATCCACATGAC